GTTTGAGTGAAATTCGATCTCTAGAACTACCCAATACACCAACCACTCCAATTAGGAAAGAACTGCCTTTGAAATATTGTCCAATTTCTTACACCTATTGATTTCGGATCGAGCCCAAAACATGGGCAACATCATAATGTGGTGGAAGGATTCATTTGGCGAATTTTAAGTGAAATCCGGTTGCTAGAACTACCTAATAGACCAACCACTCCAATTAGGAACGAATTCCCATAGAACTTGAATTTTCCAATTTCTTACACATATTGATTTCGGATCGAGTGCCAAACGTGGGAAACATCATAATATAGTGGGAGGAGTCATTTGGTGAATTTTGAGTGAAATCCGATCACAAGAACTACCCAATACACCAACCACTCCAATTAGGAAAGAACTGCCTTTGAAATATTGTCCAATTTCTTACACCTATTGATTTCGGATCGAGCCCAAAACATGGGCAACATCATAATATGTTGGGAGGAGTCATTTGGTTAGGTTTGAGTGAAATTCGATCTCTAGAACTACCCAATACACCAACCACTCCAATTATAGTCGAACTGCCTTTGAACTTGAATTGTCCAATTTCTTAGACCTATTGGTTTAGGATCGAGCCCAAAACTTGGGCAACATCATAATATTGTGGGAGGAGTCATTTGGTTAATTTTGACTGAAATCTGATCTCTAGAACTACCCAATACACCAACCACTCCAATTAGGAACGAACTGCCTTTGAACTTGAATTTTCCTTTTTCTTACACCTATTGATTTCGGATCGAGCCCAAAACTTGGGCAACATCATAATATGGTGGAAGGAGTCAATTGATGAATTTTCCAATTTCTTATAAAAATTGATTTCGGAACAAGCGCAAAATGTGGGCAACACCATAATATAGTGGGAGGAGTCCTTTGAGAAATTTTGAGTGAAATCCGATCTCTAGAACTATGGAATACACCAACCACTCCGATTAGGAACAAACTGACTTTCAACATGAAATGTCCAATTTCTTACACGTATTGATTTTGGATCGAACCCAAAACTTGGGCAACATTATAATATGATGGGAGGAGTCAATTGATGAATTATGGGTGAAATCCGATCACTAGAACTATGGAATACACCAACCACTCCGATTAGGAACGAACTGCCTTTGAAATTGAATTGTCCAATCTCTTACCCCTATTGATTTCGGATCGTGCCCAAAACTTGGGCAACATCAGATTATGGTGGGAGGAGTCATTTGGTTAAGTCTGAGTGAAAACCGATCTCTAGTAAGACCCAATACACCAACCACTCCAACTAGGAACGAACTGCCTTTGAACATGAATTGTCCAATTTCTTGCACCTATTGATTTCGGATCGAGCCCAAAACTTGGGCAACATCATAATATTGTGGGAGGAGTCATTTGGTTAAGTTTGAGTGAAATCCAATCTCTAGAACTACCCAATACACCAGCCGCACCAATTAGGAACGAATTTCTTTTGAACTTGAATTGTCCAATTTCTTACACCTATTGATTTCGGATCGACCCCAAAACTTGGGCAACATTATAATATGGTGGGAGGAGTCATTTCGCGAATTTGGAGTGAAATCCGAAATCTAGAACTGTGGAATACACCAACCACTCCAATTTGGAACGAACTTCCTTTGAACTTGAATTGTCCAATTTCTTACACCAATTGATTACGGATCAAGCCCAAAACTTTGGCAACGTCATAATATGGTGGGAGGAGTCATTTGGTTAAGTTTACGTGAAATCCGATCTCTAGAACTACCCAATGTTCCAACCAGTCCAATTAGGAACGAACTGCCTTTGAACTTGAACTGCCCAATTTCTTACTCCTATTGATTTCGGATTGAGCACAAAACTTGGGCAACATCATAATACGGTGGGAGGAGTCATTTGGTTAATTTTGACTGAAATCTGATCTCCAGAACTACCCAATACACCAACCACTACAATTAGGAATGAACTGCCTTCAAACTTGAATTGTCCAATTTCTTACACCTATTGATTTCGGTTCGAGCGCAAAACATGGGCATCACAATGTGGTGGGAGGATTCATTTGGTGAATTTTAAGTGAAATTCGGTCGCTAGAACTACCCAATACACCAACCACTCCAACTAGGAACGAATTGCCATAGAACTTGAATTTTCCAATTTCATACACATATTGATTTCGGATCGAGCGCAAAACGTGGGAAACATCATAATATAGTGGGAGGAGTCATTTGGTGAATTTTCAGTGAAATCCGATCATAAGAACTATGGAATACACCAACCACTCCAATTAGTAAAGAACTTCCTTTGAAATATTGTCCAATTTCTTACACCTATTGATTTCGGATCGAGCCCAAAACTTGGGCAACATCATAATATGGTAGGAGGAGTCGTTTGGTTAAGTTTGAGTGAAATTTGATCTCTACAACTTCCCAATACACCAACCACTCCAATTAGGAACAAACTGCCTTTGAACTTGAATTTTCCAATTTCTTACACCTATTGGTTTAGGATCGAGCCCAAGATTTGGGCAACTTCATAATATGGTGGGAGGAGTCATTGGGTTAATTTTGACTGAAATCTGATCTCTAGAACTACCCAATACACCAACCACTCCAATTAGGAACGAACTGCCTTTGAACTTGAATTTTCCAATTTCTTACACCTATTGGTTTAGGATCGAGCCCAAGATTTGGGCAACATCATAATATGGTGGGAGGAGTCATTGGGTTAATTTTGACTGAAATCTGATCTCTAGAACTACCCAATACACCAACCACTCCAATTAGGAACGAACTGCCTTTGAACTTGAATTTTCCAATTCCTTACACATATTGATTTCGGATCAGGCGGAAAACGTTGGCAACAACATAATATAGTGGGAGGACTCCTTTGAGGAATTTTGAGTGAAATCCGATCTCTAGAACTATGGAATACACCAACCACTCCGATTAGGAACGAACTGCCTTTCAACAAGAAATGTCCAATTTCTTACACCTATTGATTTTGGATCGAGCCCAAAACTTGGGCAACTTTATAATATGGTGGGAGGAGTCATTTGGTGAATTTTAGGTGAAATCCGATCTCTAGAACTATGGAATACAACAACCACTCCGATTAGGAACGAACTGCCTTTGAACTTGAACTGTCCAATCTCTTACACCTATTGATTTCGGTTCATGCCCAAAACTTGGGCAACATCAGAATATGGTGGGAGGAGTCGTTTGGTTAAGTCTTAGCGAAATCCGATCTCTAGAACTACCCAATACACCAACCACGCCAATTAGGAACGAACTGCCTTTGAACATGAATTGTCCAATTTCTTACACGTATTGATTTCGGATCGTGCCCAAAACTTGGGCAACATCATAATATGGTGGGAGGAGTCCTTTGGTTAAGTTTGAGTGAAATCCGAACTCTAGAACTACCCAACACACTAACCACTCCAATTAGGAACGAACTGCCTTTGAAGTTGAATTGTCAAATTTCTTACACCTTTTGATTTCGAATCAAGCCCAAAACTTGGGCAACATCATAATATGGTGGGAGGAGTTATTTGGAGAATTTTGAGTGAAATCTGATCTCTAGAACTACCAAATACACCAACCACACCAATTAGGAACGAATTGCTTTTGAACTTGAATTGTCCAATTTCTTACACCTATTGATTTCGGATCGATCCCAAAACTTGGACAACAGCGTAATATGGTGGGAGGAATCGTTTCGTTAATTTTGAGTGAAATCCGAAATCTAGAACTATGGAATACACCAACCGCTCCAATTAGGAGCGAACTGCCTTTGAACTTGAATTGTCCAATTTCTTACACCAATTGATTTCGGATCGAGCCCAAAACTTCGGCAACGTCATAATATGGTGGGAGGAGCCATTTGGTTAAGTTTGCTTGAAATCAGATCTCTAAAACTACCCAATACACAACCCACTTCAATTTGGAACGAACTGCCTTTACACTTGAATTGTCCAATTTCTTACACCTATTGATTTCGGATCGAGCCCAAAACTTGGGCAACATCATAATATGGTGGGCGGAG